TGCCTCTCGATGTTGTTTACTGTGATCAGTACTTCTTTCTATCGGTTTTGATGGGAGTTCCTGTTGCCTCTCGATGTTGTTTACTGTGATCAGTGCTTCTTTATATCGTTTTTGATGGGAGTTCCTATTGGCTCTCGATGTTGTTTACTGTGATCAGTGCTTTTTTGTATCGGGTTTGATTGGAGTTCCTGTTGGCTCTCGATGTTGTTTACTGTGATCACTGCTACTTTATATCGGTTTTTATGTGAGTTCCTATTGCCTCTCGATGTTGTTTACTGTGATCAGTGCTTCTTTATATCGGTTTTTATGGGAGTTCCTATTGCCTCTCGATGTTGTTTATTGTGATCTGTGCTTCTTTATATCGGTTTTTATGGGAGTCCTATTTACTCTCGATGTTGTTTACTGTGATAAGTGCTTCTTTATATCGGTTTTTGAGGGAGTCCCTATTGAATCTCGATGTTGTTTACTGTCATCTGTGCTTCTTTATCTTTATATCTGTATTATGGGAGTCCCCATTGACTCTCAGTGTTGCACTGGTGTTTGTATTGCTTGGATATTTCGATGAGAGAGAATAAGTCGCGGACATAGAATGTCTTGGATATTTGGATGAGAGGGAATGAATTGAAGTGGAGCAATGGGAAATATTAATACTTTTTTTGCATTTAAATTCTGTATTTCATTCTGGGTAAACAATTATTTACTCCTGATCTGTTTATGAAGATGCTCTATATTAAATCAACTTTGGTATACAGTTATCGATATTAGAGTATAGGACGACTAGTCCAAATAATCATAACGTTTCAAAGAACTTTTTGTTTTTGCTGTAACGCCTTCCTACGACATACGTCATAACCTTGATAACGTCGAAACCATTTTTCGGCTGGACTTAATGTCCTCTCAATTTTGAGACGCAATTTTGAATATATAATAATTTTATAGTTTTACACCAGCCGAGATGTCAATATGTAAAAGAGTCTTTATCCATATATATGATTTATAGATTATTTTGTCATTTATTATAAAGACTTTAGAATTTAAGATTATACAACCATCAAGTTAAGTGAGTACTTCGCCTATGATCACTTTCACAATAAGAATAAGTTCAAAACCAATTACAAACATGTTAGTGTGTCAGCTCGTCAGTCCAATTTATAAAATAGTACAAGACAAATTAACATTACTATGATCAAATAAAATAAAACAGCCGCTACTGTTTTTGATAGATTCTTCTGCTTGGAACTGCGAAACCTAAATAGTCTCTAGTGGGCTGCGCCCCACACCCCCGCCTCGGTAATAACAAAGGTCAAGTTACGCCACTAGTGGAAATTATTGCAACAGCAATAAGACACTAAATAAGTTCAAATGGAAACGAATATTGACAAACAAACAAAAACAAACAACAAAGAAAACGAAAAGAAAGGAGTCCTTGCCGCCAAGCAGAGTAAGAGTGTGCAAATCTGTTTTCTTTTCCTTTTCTCTTGATCATATGCTTGTAATGAGTCCTTTGATAATGTTTTAAAATAACATGTTAATAGTGTATATAGTTTATTTATAAGAATGAGTCTGCATTTGTCTGCCGAATGCAAAAAAATAAATAAAAATAAATCAAATAGCGAGTATAGCGAGTCGAAAACATGTTTTGGATGATTTGATCCCAAATTATGATTTGTTTCGATTAAAGAGGAGCCGGGCGTATGCCCTTTAAGTCCGAGTCCCCTTCTACCAAGAATCTGCTACTAGCTACATGCATTCGGAAATACATAATAATTTTAGAACTATAGTATTATATGTATGTCTCTGGTGCAATGCAAAAATAAGACAATTGACTGTATAAACTGTGGCACATTCGTACAAAAAAGTAAGTGACCCTTGCTCGCCAACCCATCCTACTTGGACCTTGAAATTGTGGAAAAGGCATACAACATAAGGGTCTGGATGGGGTCTACAGAATAGAGAATAATGGGCTAATATAACAGAAAAATGGGCCAAAAAAGATAAAGAATAGAGAGGAATAAGCCAAACAAAGAAAGAATAGAGAATAATGGAGTGATAAAGTATAAAGAATAGAAAATAATGGAGTGTTAAAGTATAAAGAAAGAATAGAGAATAATGGAGTGTTAAAGTATAAAGAATAGAGAATAATGGAGTGATAAAGTATAAAGAATAGAGAATAATGGAGTGATAAAGTATAAAGAATAGAGAATAATGGAGTGATAAAGTATAAAGAATAGAGAATAATGGAGTGATAAAGTATAAAGAATAGAAAATAATGGAGTTTAAAGTATAAAGAATAGAGAATAATGGAGTGATAAAGTATAAATAATAGAAAATAATGGAGTGATAAAGTATAAAGAATAGAAAATAATGGAGTGATAAAGTATAAAGAATAGAGAATAATGGAGTGATAAAGTATAAATAATAGAAAATAATGGAGTGATAAAGTATAAAGAATAGAAAATAATGGAGTGTTAAAGTATAAAGAATAGAGAATAATGGAGTGATAAAGTATAAAGAATAGAGAATAATGGAGTGATAAAGTATAAAGAATAGAGAATAATGGAGTGATAAAGTATAAAGAATAGAAAATAATGGAGTGATAAAGTATAAAGAATAGAAAATAATGGAGTGTTAAAGTATAAAGAATAGAGAATAATGGAGTGATAAAGTATAAAGAATAGAGAATAATGGAGTGATAAAGTATAAATAATAGAAAATAATGGAGTGATAAAGTATAAAGAATAGAGAATAATGGAGTGATAAAGTATAAAGAATAGAGAATAATGGAGTGATAAAGTATAAAGAATAGAGAATAATGGAGTGATAAAGTATAAAGAATAGAAAATAATGGAGTGATAAAGTATAAAGAATAGAGAGTAATGGAGTGATAAAGTATAAAGAATAGAGAGTAATGGAGTGATAAAATATAAAGAATAGAGAGTAATGGAGTGATAAAGTATAAAGAATAGAGAGTAATGGAGTGATAAAGTATAAAGAATAGAGAGTAATGGAGTGATAAAGTATAAAGAATAGAGAGTAATGGAGTGATAAAATATAAAGAATAGAGAGTAATGGAGTGATAAAGTATAAAGAATAGAGAGTAATGGAGTGATAAAGTATAAAGAATAGAGAGTAATGGAGTGATAAAGTATAAAGAATAGAGAGTAATGGAGTGATAAAGTATAAAGAATAGAGAGTAATGGAGTGATAAAGTATAAAGAATAGAAAATAATGGAGTGATAAAGTATAAAGAATAGAAAATAATGGAGTGATAAAGTATAAAGAATAGAAAATAATGGAGTGATAAAGTATAAAGAATAGAAAATAATATGCAAAAATTCTAAAGATAAGAGAAAAGGGCTTAAAAACAGAATACAGAAATAAATGACCCCTCATCCAGACCCTAAAACATGATATAATACAAATCTTTATTATATCGAATTAATGAAAGATTAAAGCACGTACATCTTAGCAGTAGGTTAATTATTAATAAGAGGATTACGTCCATGTTATGTGCTGTGTGACCTTTCCCAGTGACCTATAGCTATAACTGGATTATATCCACATGTTTGCAATTACTGGCAGACAGTTTATCCACTCATTGTTTCAATAACTGGACAGGATAACATACAGAAATGCACTATTTTTACGGGTAATAACAATTTATTGTACATTTGATTAGTGTAAAACTTTAACCGATTATAACTGCTATTGGTCCCAACTGAATATGACAATATGATTTTAAAGTACAAATCGGATTTCATTTACTTTTTAGACTGACATGCTAATTCACTGACGTGATTGAAAATTGTCTGTCGAAATAGAAATGTATATTATCAAGAATGAAATTCGCAGACATAATTTTTTTTTTCCATTAATGCTTCTGTAGAATTTTACATGGCTTTTTTTAATGATGGAGTTTTGGTATCTTAGCCCAAGGAGGTTATATGATCTCATATAACCTCCTTGCTTAGCCCAAGGAAAAAAGCTCAGACAGAGACTCCTTATGTTTGATTACAGATTTATATCTCAGTTGTAAAAGCACTAAAAATAATTTAGGTTGGCAGTTTGAATCTGAAAAGAAAATGAAAACAACACTTTATAAAAATTATGCGTCCGAAGCGCTTTTATATATATATATATATATATATATCACAACATGTGTCATGGAGTAGAAGTTCCTTTACTAGTTCAAAACGGAAGAAATATTTGAGGATCTGTTCCACCTGGGACATACTATGAAATATATCAATATATATGGTCACAGGTTCCATCACTGACACCAAATTTCCCGGTGATTGACAAACTTGAACACACGATACACCTACAGACAACCGATCACCAGATTTACAGACACATCATCGAGCCGCAACAGAGAAAACACAGCGTTTTATTACTGCATTTCTCAGTGCCATTGAGGCAATTTAGTAATTAGTCCGCGAAACATTTTTCAAGACAAGTGCAAGATCGAATAGAACGGAGTAAGACCAGTTAAAAAAAATTTGCTTCATTAGTCCGATGATGTGCCTTTATGATCTTTTGTGATGTGCCTTTATGATCTTTTGTAGCATCTTAGTTTGAACTTGTTCACAACAATCCGTCATTACAAAAAGAGAGTATTATTTGATACACATTTTCCATCAAGTATTCATTTGTTCAATAAAAAAACATCAACAAAAACTACAATCCTAGTTGTATTTATAAGCTATAATAACTAAATTTTATATTTACCGCGCACGGAACTGTGGTGGGATGAAATATTTATTTTAGCAAGTTCGAAATTCGAAATTACTAAATAGTTATGACAAAACGAAACTAAAGAAAAGATAGGCGATATCAACAATTTTAAGAGATGTTTTTGATTAATTTACAATACACCAACCTAATTTAAGCTAATTTCTATATATATGATATAACAATTGATAATAATGACTTAATAACCTTTACGGCATTCGAAATCGTCAGTACACTATGTAAATCCGTAATTTATATTGACTGCACCAAATAACTGTTTCCCGTTGTTTTTGATCTGTCACTCGATATTGTTGATTGCTGATTTAAATCTAATGTCATTTAAATATCCAGCCATATGCAAGTTAATTACAACAAGACATCATACGAGGACTGGCTGGCACAAAGTTATGTGAAACAAATGAGTGGAAATCATCACAATAGACAGGCCGTGACGTGGAGGAAACTCTACCTCAGCAGGGCCAAGCTCAAAGCATCAAGTTCTACGTCAGCATTATTGTCAGGATTCGCAATGGTAAGAATGGAACTAAAATAAATGATTGAGATTTTCTGGATTATTTTGACCTTAGTGTGAAAATTGATTCTTTACCGTATGACACAGCTGTTCTACTGATCAATGCCAATGGGTCTTTTTATATCAATAATATAATTTTGTCATGAATAGAATAGAATAGAATATTTTTATTTCCCAAATCACAGGGCCCATAAAGGGCATAAAATCAGATACAATTGATTTACATAATTGGTAACAACAACAATAATAGTCACTTGAAAATATATATTTAGTATATTAGCATTGGTCAGAATCAGAGCCAAAAACCACATATATTGTGAATAAAAGAATAAAATTACATTATATGCATTCATTCTCAAATCATTTACTTGACTTAGTGTCAATATGCATACCTGATCTCCTTAATTCAAAACAGTCACAAATATAACAGCCCAGTTTTTCCATAAGAGTTACATTTTCTTGAGTCAAGAGCCATAAAAATTTAGAAGATTTATTTAAATTTTTAAAATTATAACAATTGTCAGATATGTATTGAAAAAAGTCTTCCCTTTGAGTATCATAAAGAGGACATTCTAACAAAAAATGAAGCTCATCTTCAACTTTACCAAGTGAGCAATTTGAACAAAGACGCTCAGATCTTTCTATATATTTTTTTGAATATCTGTCTGTCTCAATTTTTAAAGAGTGAGCACTTATTCTTAATTTACAAATTGACTGTCTTTTTTTAAAATCCTGTAGTTCTAAATATTTTTCTTTTTTAAAACAATTTTTTATAGAAAAATAAGTACCAAGCTTCCCTTTTTCAGAGTTAATTGTTTGATACTTCAGTCTATTCCAAAATGTTAAATAACTTTCACATAGTTTATTTTTAACATACTGACATACTGTCATGTAAATTGGCCCTTGTTTCATCTGTTTAAAAAAAAATATAAGATATTACATATTCAAAATGTAAAATATATTTTGAATTGGTTACAATTTAAACATTCATAGATATAAGAAGATGTGGTATGAGTGCCAATGAGACAACTATCAATCCAAGTCAAAATTTATAAAAGTAAACCATTATAGGTCACAGTACAGTCTTCAACACGGAGCCTTGGCTCACACCGAACAGTAAGCTATAAAGGGCCCCCAAAAATTACTAGTGTAAAACCATTCAAACGGGAAAACCAACGGTCTAATCTATATAAAAAACGAGAAACACTTATGAACCACATCAACAAACGACAACTACTGAACATCAGATTCCTTTTTATATGTAAAGGATCACTGAGCAGCCTCAGAGTGATTCATTCCAAAGGTGGATACATTGTACATGAAATGATGTATCTAGAGACAACCTGACAAATGCCTAAGATTTACGCAAAAATAACTCAAATCTCAAAAATAAAAAAATAAAAACCACATATATATGTAAGAAAAATGATTAAACATGTTTAATGTATCCTTGCTAGTGAAAAAAGAATGTTTTTGTTTATTTCAACATGAAATACTATGGAAACTTCATGGACTTCTACATAAGTGGGAAGCAAGACAAGTCGCCCCACTGCCAAACCGCCCCAATTTTTCACCAACTAGCCCACTCTTGTTTACCAACTCTCCCCACTTTATGAAAAAGGGTTAAATCCCGTTAAATTTACTCCTGCCAACTCGTCCCACTTATAAAAAAGGGTAAAATCCTGTCAAATATATAATAAAGGTCTGCCAACTCATGACCCAGTTCTGCAGAAGTTCGTCCGTTATGTCCACAAAACATGGATCACCAGCTCTTTCTACCAGATTACTACATGGTGTGTCTTCAACCAACCTACAAGGACAAACAATGACGTAGAAGGCTGGCACAGATGCCTCAACAAAAAGAACGACGACGAAAAGCCAGCCTTCTATATGACCTCATCCAGAAACTGCATGAAGAGTCGCAACAAGTCTATTACCCATCCAGATTAAGTTAGCGTCCAAGGGTAAGCTTACTCTGTACCAGGGCAAGCAAGCCTGCATTACCGGAGTTGGTAGGCCTTAATTCAGTACAATTTAATTCTTTTTTTCATTAGTGGGGCGAGTTGGTAGTCATTAATACAGGTAGATTTTATTCTTTTTTTTTCATAAGAGGGGTGAGTTGTCAGACCTATATTCAACGGGATCTTACCCTTTTTCATGAGTGGGGCAAGTTGGCAGGACTAAATTCATCGGAATTTTACTATTTTTCATAAGTGGGGCAAATTGGCAGACCTATATTCAACAGGATCTTACCCTTTTTCATGAGTTGGGTGAGTTGGCAGGACTAAATTCATCTGGATTTTACTATTTTTCATAAGTGGGGCCAGTTGGCAGACCTATATTCAATAGGATTTTACCCTTTTTCATATTAGTGAGGTGAGTTGGCAGACCTATATTCAACGGGATTTTACCCTTTTTATACGACCGCAAAATTTTTTGCGTCATATATTGGTATGATGTCGTCTGTGTCGTCGTCCGAAGACAAATTTGGTTTCTGGACAATAACTTTAGTTCAAGTGAATGGATCTCTATGAAATTTTACCAGAAGGTTCAATACCACAAAAGGAAGGTTGTGATTGATTTTGGGGGTTATATTACCAACAGTTTAGGAATTAGGGGCCAGAAACAAGAATTTTTGTTGTTTCCGGACAATAACTTGTGTGTAAGTGTATGGATCTTTCTGAAATTGTACCACAAGGTTCAATTTCAAAAAAAGGAAGCCTGGGATTGAGTTTGGGGGTAATTGCCTTAAACGTTCTGGAATTAGGAGCCAAAAACAAGCATTTTTCAAGTATCCAGACAATAACTTGTGTTTATGTGTATGGATCTCTCTGAAATTGTAATGCAAGGTACCATACCACAAATGGAAGGCTGGGATTGAGTTTGGGGGTAATTGCCCCAAACGTTCAGGAATTGGGGGCCAAAAAGGGGTAAAAAACAAGAATTTTTCTAGTTTCCAGTCAATAACTTGTGTTTAAGTGTATGGATCTTTCTGAAATTGTACAGCAAGGTACCATATGACAAAGGGAAAGCTGGGATTGAGTTTCTGGGTAATTACTAAAAGGGGGTAAAAAAATATTGGGGGGGGGGGGATTTTTTTTTTCTTAAAATTTTCCATTTTTGCATTTATTATATCTGATTGATATTTAAAAGCAAAAAATACTGATATGGCAGGAGATACACACCAAACATGACGTGTAAATTATATGAAGTATTGTGCAAGAGCACACTATTGCGCAATAGCACAATAGTGCCTAATTGCCAGAAATCTTCAATTGCATAATATTGTGCAATAGCAAGAAATATCCAATTGCACAGTTTTGTGCAATTGCAAGAAATCTTCGAAAATTATTACAAGTATTTCAACCCATTTCAAATTTTTAAGATTTTTCACCACATTTATTTTGTGTCAGAAACCTATATTATGAAAAAATGATCACAATCAAAATTCAGACAGTATCAAGCTTGAATATTGTGTCCAAACTTGTACCACCTGTTCAGGGTTCGACCTCAGCGAAGCATTTTATTCAAAAGTTGGATGAGTTGGTAAATAAGAGTGGGGTGATTTTTTTTTAGAAAGTGGGGCGACTTGTCATTGATTCCATAAGAATAATTATTAATGTCAAGAAAGATAACTGTTGAGACTGTAAAATATTTATTAGTGTACATGTAAATCAATAATTAGGGTATTTGAAGCCATTTTGATATCATATATATGCAATTAGGGGCCAGCTAAAGCCCGCCTCCGGATGCAAGATTTTCTCGCTGTTTGGAAGACCCATTGGTAGCCTTGAGCTGTTCTGCTCTTTGGTCAGGTTGTTGTTTCTTTTACACATTCCCTGTTTCCATTCTCAATTTTAATTATAGATAAGTATATGATCATGTTGATGATGGTTACAAATTCATTCAAGGTTTTCCGGGGACATACATGTAACGTGGTATAAGGTCCAAGCCCAAGGTTACCAAAAATATATGTATATAATTTAGTAACCCATCAGACATTGTTTTGGCAGAGACTGTGTATATATGTCTCTGGATTTGGCATTATATTAGGTTTAACATAATTATTTTGATTTAATTGACTTATTTTTATTAAAGTGTTTATTAGAGATGTTGAAATATATATTCAAAAACATACATGTAGTAAATGTGAATTCTATCACAATGCTAATAGTTTAAACACCCGGCTTTAATATACATAAAACCCCCAAGGGTGACTGGGGTATAGAAGTATGGTCACCATTGGTCTTCCTACGACCGGCAGTAAAACCCTCGCCAAAGTGGGACGTCCGTTTGACTGTGCGGGATGTACAAATTTGCAGCCAGGTCAGGTCAGAATGGGGACTTTAAATCCGATGCCTTGTGTAAAAAGAGTGCCATGCTCTTTGCATGTTAAGAACCCTTGCAACAACTCTTTGAGGGTTCTGTAGGTGACCTGTTGCAAGGCTAAATTTCTGTCCCTATCCAATATACCCTCATTTCCTGTGGCAGTCTAAATTTCTCCGACCTTAATCCTGGACGCCTCTATTACAGAACCTCCCTATTGTTTTAATTGTAAATTTGTTCTCGTCCTGAATATGCATGAAATATTTGCCACTGGACGTTAAGCAACCAACAATCAATCAATTTACATAAACGTTGTTACAGAGTTACTGACTGTTCTTGACACCTTTGAACACTGACCAGGTTAAAACATAAAATGTGTAGCAAATGCGTTTCAATTTTTATACGCCCGAAACTTTGGTGAATTGTTTATATTTATTGACGTGAGCTCCCTTTCGTTTTTTTATAAATTTTAGATTTTACGTTTCCGAGTTATGGAGGTTTTATTCATTAATAAAGGGGGATTTTCCAGTTTTCGGACAATAACTCAAAAACACTTTCATGAATTGTTTATATTTATTAACATGAGCTCCCTTTGATTTTTATAAATTTTTGATTTTACGTTTCCGAGTTTTTGGACAATAACTTTAAAGTGCTTTGAGCAGTTTTTGTGAAGT